CAGGGGAGAGCCGCCTGCCAGGGCCGCCCGCGGCCTGAGGTTCAGGGGAGAGCCGCCTGCCAGGGCCGCCCGCGGCCTGAGGTTCAGGGGAGAGCTGCGGAGGGGCCGCCCGCGGCACCCAGGTGGCTCAGGTGCAGCCCCTCCCGGGTCCCCTCCTCACAGGTGACGCTGATGCTGCTGGATCAGGACAACCGTGAGCACGTGATCGACGCCTTCAGGCCTGACGTGACCTCCTCCTCCTTCCAGCGGCCCGTCGGCGACATGAACATTGCCAGCGGCTGCCCCCTCTTCTGCCCTGTGTCCAAGATGGAGGCCAAGAACTCCTACGTGCGCGACGACGCCGTCTTCATCAAAGCCATCGTGGACTTGACAGGGCTCTGACCGCCCCAGCCAGAAACAGCTGCGCAGCTGGAGCCCGCATGGGGCAAGACCCTGCTGGACAAGGCGCCAGGAGGCCTCGGCCGGTGACCCAGCGCCCTGACACGTGCAAGGAGCCGCCGGCAGAGACCGTGGAGGCCCTGGAGAAGGTCCCGCACAGGCCTCTCGCCGCTCCCCTCGCCAGCCTCTGTGCAGGGGGGGCCAGGGGCAGCCAGAAGGCGGGCCCTGCTCCCCTCTCGCCGCTCCCCTCGCCGGCCTCTGTGCAGGGGGGGCCGGGGGCAGCCAGAAGGCGGGCCCTGCTCCCCTCTCGCCGCTCCCCTCGCCGGCCTCTGTGCAGGGGGGCCGAGGGCAGCCAGAAGGCGGGCCCTGCTCCCCTCTCGGAGACTGTGGGATGGTAGTGGATGCGGCTGGGGAGAAGGGCCTGTGCCTGCAGAGTGTGGCCCTAGAAAGAAGGGTGCTGAAGCCCGGTGCTCACGGGCTGAGCCTCTGGCCAGCCTGTGGCCAGCCCAGGGCTTGCTCAGCCTCACTGTCAGGCGGAGGAGAAATCATTAAACCACCTCGCTGTCTTGGGTGTGGCGTCCACCTGACACCAGGCCGCAGGTGGCTCCCACATGGGCCACGGCGGCCCCTGCCCTCCTCCACCCCCGTGAGCGCCCCAGGCACCTGTGGGAGCAGCCGGGACACACTGCAGTGTGCTCAGGGTGAGCAAGGCCTGTGCCCTGCGTGCGTGCAAGGGCGGCCCAGGGCCCTGGCAGGAAGGACCGGGAGGAAGCCGGGCCTCCCGCTTCCTTCCGCTGGCCGCTCGGGCATCTTCAGAGGTCACCTGATGGAACAAAGAGCAAGGCCGTCCCCACGCAGGACTGCCGCAGCCCGGTTCTGCCTGGGGGTAAACTTGGGGGGGGGTCTCTGTGTAGCAGTCGCACACAGAACGGCGGGCAGTTGACTGACCACTCACCCCATGTGCTGGGCTCCCAGTGGACTTCCACTGCTGCGGGCATACTGACGGAGGAGACATCATCTTTCTCCTGAAACCGGTCTTCAAGTTCTCGAGGCCTCCCTGGCCTGCTGGCCCGCTGGGATGGGAGGTGCTGCCCCGCGCCAGGCTGTGCCGGCCCTCGCGGCTGTCCTTGGCCGTCTCTGTTGGGCTGTGTCCGGCAGGCCCTGGGTGTGCATGGTCGCTGCTTGGGGTGCTGGCGGTCTGTCGTGTTGGTTGCTCATCTTGGATCTCTCCTGCTGTCTTCAGCTGTGATGTTGGGTTTCCTCCAGGCTGGTACTGCTCACCCCCTTCACACTTGTACTGGGTTGGCTTTGTGAACTCTGTGTTGTAGAAAGATTCTAAAGTTAGGATGTGGCCAGTTAATACTCTTAAATTTTGGTTTTCCATATAGTGGGTTTCTGAGTTTGGGAATTTATTTATGTCAATACTGGGGTTTGAATTTAGGGCCTTGCACTCTTGCTTAGGTTTTTTGCATAAGGCTAGCACTCTGTCACTTGAATCACAGATCTACTTCTGGCTTTTTGCTGGTTAATTGGAGAGAAGAGAGTCTCTGACACTGTCTTTCCCAGGCTGGATTCAAACCATGATCCTCAGATCTCAGCCTCCTGAGTCGCTAGTATTACAGGCATGAGCTCTCAGTGCCTGGCTTGAAGCTGGTAGATCAGACATCATCTTCATCCCCTTAAAGAGGATGGGAAGGGTCTGAGAGGGTCGGCAGCTCAGTGGTAGAGCACACACTTGGGCCCTTGGTTCAATCCCCAGCACCAGAAGAAATCAAAAGTGGAACTGAAACTTGTCGGTCAGGGACAGCCACCGCGGATGGGCCTTGCAGCTGGCACCGCTGGTAGGCGGGCGCCCATGCCCTGGCACTGCAGAGACCCAGGTCAAGAGAACATGCTGAAAAGTGGGCGAGTGCCTGGCCCCAGTGCCCCGGGAAGCGGCATCTGCACTGGCACTCCTGGGGGGGGGAGTCCCAGGGACGGAGTCTCCCAGAAAGACCCCACATGCAGGCTGCGCCCCAGGGGGCGTTACGGGCACGGACACCTGCAAGTTTCCAGATCTCACAGACTGGCACTGGCACTCGGGTTTTAGGACATGTCAGCCCCTGTCCCGTCGTTCTTCCGGACAGCCGGGAACAAGTGTCTGGATACCTGTGTCACTCACTTGGGCTTCAAGCTTCATCAGCAGGATAGCAGAGATCAGATTGTGTGTATGTATGCATGTGCTGGTACTGGGGCTTGAACTCAGGGCCTCACATTCTTGCTTAGCTTTTTTGATAAAGGCTAGCACTCTACCACTTAATCCTCACCTCCACTCTGGCTTTGTGCTGGTCAGTTGAAGAAAAGAGTCTCAAGTTTGTGTGTCTGGACTGGCTTCGAACTGCAGTTTTGAGGTCTCAGCCTCGATTATTGGTGTGAGGCACCAGCCTTGCCTGGCGTGGCTTTTTCCCTCGCAGCCGGTGCCCTACCCTGTGCCACACCTCCAGTTGGCATTTTGCTAATAGTTGGAAATAAGAATCTTTCTGGTTTGTCTGTCTGGACTGGCTTCCAACGGCGTGAGCACCCGTGCCCGGCAGGACTTGTCTTGTCTTTGAACGGCTAGGGAGCACTGCATGTGTGGGGAACACATTTGCTGACTGGTTTGCCTCCTGGAGGACATTCGCGCTGTCTCCATCACTGCTGCTGTGGAGTCGCTGAGCATGTGTTCCCTGGCTCCCAGGACTTGCTCCCTGAGAGCAGAGCTGCTGGTTGTGCATTTCCTGTTCTAGAAATTGTCGAGTTCAGCTAGGTGTGGTGGTGCGCACCTGTAACCTCCGCCCCGGGGAGGCACGCAGGACTGTGTCTGAGGCCAGACGTCTCCCTGGTGAGCCTCGGTCTCTCTGGACACTTGTCAGACTCCCTGGCTGCGGGGCCTGCACACCGTCAGCGGCGCCGCCGTCTGCTCTCCCGCACCTCATCGCTCAGAATTTCAGTTCTGTCATACTTGGAACACTGGTCATTTTCAAGCATCCGTGGCAGGGCCGGTGTGTGGTGATCTTTGCTCACAGATCCTCTGCTCTGCCTCCTGGTGGTGTTTGTCTTGAGAAAAAAAATGCCCTTCAGCACTCTGTTGCTTTGTGTCTCGGACATTTTCTTCCGATAGAAGCATAGCACGTTGTTGCTAAGCTGGTCTTGCTCTGGCTTCAAACCTCCGGGGCCGCCGTGCACTGCAGCGAACCCATTTGATTTTAATTATGTATTTATTTAAAAGATAAGGTCTTGCAGGGTTGGTCTTAACGTGTGCGTGCGCGTGTGTGTGTGTTTGCGTGTGTGCGTGCGTGCGCCAGTCCTGGGCTTGAACTCAGAGCCTGCACACTGTCTCTGAGCTGTTCTGTTCAAGACTAGAGTTCTGCCACTTGAGCCACAGCTCTGCTTCTTACTTTTTGGTGGTTAATTGGAAATACACGGACTTTCCTGCCCCAGGCTGGCTTCAAATTGAGACCCTCAGATCTCAGCGTCCTGAGTAGCCGGGATTATAGGTGTGAGCCACCAGCATTGGGTGTAGGCCACACAGCTGGGATTGCAGTCATAAGACATCATGCCCAGCCCACTACTTGCCTCTTTTGCAGTCTGAGGCTGGGACTGAAATTGGATACTTAATGCCTTTGCTTATCCTCTAGTGCTCTACCAGTTGAGCCACACCTCCAACCCCATATCGCCCTGTCCTGATATCATGGTTATAGTAACTCAGGTTCCTCCAACTTTATTTTTAAGTTTCAAAACTGCTTTAGCTATTATTTGTTCCTCTGTGAAAACATACAAGTTTTAGAATCATCTTACCTATATCTATTTTTCAAAACTCCTAATAGGCCTACACAGTGGTTCCCTCCTGTAATGCCAGCCACTCGGTAGGCCGAGATCGGGAGAGTCACATTTTGAGGTGAGCCTGGCAAAAAGTCCGCTGGCCTCCGTCGGCTGGGTGGAACTGCAGACAGGATCATGATCCAGGGTAGCCTGGGCAGAACGTGGGGCCCTCTGCAAAAAGTACCCCAAAGCCAGGTGCTGTGGCTCACGCCTATAATCCTAGCTACTCAGGAGGCTGAGTTCAGAGGTTCAAAGTATGAAGCCAGGCCTGGCAAGAAGTATGAGACTTTTATCTCCAACTAACCCCCAGAAAACCGGAGGTGGCGCTGTGGCTCAAAGTGGTAGAGTGCTAGCTTTGAGTGCAAAAAGCTCAGGGACAACATCAGGCCTGGAGTTCAAAATCCACAACTGTGCACTCGTGCGCACACAACAGAGTAACCAGAGCCAAAAGGGCTGGAGGTATGGCTCAAGCAGAAGAGCACCTGCCTAGCAAGTGTGAAGTCCCGAGTTCAAACCCAAGTACTGAAGAACAAAGTTCCCGTTGGGCCTTCCGCTGGAATTGCATCAAGTCCTCTCTTTGTGTTACTCTAACCTCAGCCCGTGTGCCAGCTTGCCCTTCCCACCCTGCTGTGCCTCTGGGTGCGTCTCTAGTTAGGCCTGTGTGTGGTGTGCTGGTCTCTAGCTCCGGGGTAGGAGGTTTGCTGCATATGAATGAAAACAGCCGTGAGAGTTTGTTTTGCTTTTCCACCCTGGGCTTTCTGCACACCCTGTTCCCCTGGCCCAGTCATCCTGGGCAGGGCCGCTCGGGCGCGTCCAGTGTTCCCGCTGTTCAGTGTGATGTCACTGGGCCTTTTGTTGCTCTGTTTTGATGCCACTGCCAGGCTGAGCCAGTTCCCTTCATCGTCACTGGGTTTGTCAACTGCCTTTTCTGTGTCACGTGACATCTTCTGTCCTAACCACAGTAGTTGGTCTGTAGAGAGGAGCCAGCCTTGCGTTTCTGGAGCGGGCCCCACTCAGCCATGGCCGGCTGCCGCTTTCATAGCACGCTGGGCTCCACAGCATTTTCTAGAGGGCCTCGCTCCCGTGTTTCTCACATGGGTGTGTTTGCAGGTGTCTTTTTGTTCCCTAGTCCCTTCCTACTTGTGGTTACCCTGGCTAGCAGCTATTATCCTCACTTAACTGATGTCCAGAAATACGAAGTGCAAAACCCTAGAAATAAGTCGAAGGTTGGTGGGCACTGTTGGCTCACGCTTCTGATCTTAGCTATTCAGGAGGCTGAGATCTAAGGATCGAGGTTCAAAGTCGGCCTGAGCAGGAAGGGCCTTGAGACTCTCTTCTCCAATAAACTACCAGAAAAACGGGAGTGGTGCTGTAACTCAAGTGGTAGAGCACTTGTCGAGCTGAAGAACTAAGGGACAACGCCCAGGTCCGGAGTTCAAGCCCCATGACCAACAACAACAAAAGTCAAATGTTTAAACTGTACCATTCTGAGTAGCATGATAAAATTCCTCACTGCCCTTTACCACCTTCTGTCTGCGCACCAGATATGTGAGTCTGCACCCCGGCTGGACAGGCTGCACTGTAGATGCTGCACTGGCCTCCCTTGGGCAGGCTAGCACGGGGTTTGAACTCAGGGCCTCGTGCTTGCCAGGCAGGCACTGGGTCACGGAGCTCAGGGCTCCTGCCCGCCAGGCAGGTACTCTGTCACTGAGCCACACCTCCAGTCCTTGGTTGCACTGGTCACTTTTGAGATTGGGTTTTGACTTTCCCCAGGTGTACCTAGGCTTTGATCTGCTATTTTAGGCTTCTCGTCACAGCTCGATGACAGGCGTACCCGACTTCTGTTGAGTCTCCCAGACACCTACCAGGCTGGCCTGGAACCTCCCTGCACCCTCCTGTCTGGCCTGCCTTGTAGCTAAGTGTGGCTGCTGGGGGGAGGGGCCTTGAACGTATGCCTGCCTGGGTTGGCCTCCAACAGTCTCTCTGTGTGTGTGTGTGTGTGTGTGTGTGTGTGTGTGTGTGTGTGTGTGGTCACAGGGCTTGAACTCAGGGTCTGGGTGCTGTCCCTAAGCTTTTTGTGGAAGGCTAGCACTCTGTCACTTTGAGTCACAACTCTACTTCCACTATTCTGGTGGTTAATTGGAGGTGTCTCACAGACTTTCCTGCCCTGGCTTTGAACTGTGATCCTCAGATCTCGGCCTCCTGTGTAGCTAGGGTGACAGGTGTGAGCCTCTGGCACCTGGCTCCAACCACCATCTTACCATCCTCCAAAGTTGCCAGGCTTCCAGGCATGAGCCACAGTACTCTTCTCCTCAGCTGTCATACACCATGGGGGTTTGGGCCCTGTCATCTTTATTTTACCAGAGATGGCCCAGAATCTGCCATCCTGGTGCAGAGACAACCGATCTGCCCGAGTGTGACGGGCAAAGGTGCAGCACCTGAGTATTTGTGAACAGAGCATGGTATTTATCGCCTGTGGCCTCAGGGACACTGCTGTCTGACAGCTGACCCTGCTGTCAGCCCTTGCTGGCGGGTGGGTGTAACAAGCTCCTTACACTGGGATGGGGCAATGGGCGGAGCTGCGAGAATCTGGAAGGAGCCATGGGGACGTCCGGACACATGTTCTTGGCAGTGGTCAAGTCGCTGTGAGCAAGACTTGGTGCTAGAAATGGGGGGGGGGGCTGTCACAGAGGGCTGGCACCATGCCGCTGTGCACACATGCCCAACATCTGTATGGGAGGGGGAGACTCAGCAGCCAAGCACTCTGGGTACTGGATGGTTTCTTTTACCTGCATATATAGCAAAGTGGGAGCATAGGGAATTGCTTAAGCACAGGATTTATCATTAGAAAGGTTCATAGAAGACCCTCAGCCTGCTGTGTGGTAGAGAAGGTAGGACATTGCCGGGGCACCTCTCAGGTGTCTGCTGTGGACAACACAGGGGAGGCCTGGGGAGCGGGGGTTTGCAGCTGAGGTGCTTGCAAGCTCTGCGTGCCAGAGCACCCAGGCCACGGCGCAGCAAGCAGAGGGGGCTGGCCCTGCCCCTTTGAGAAAGTCCTGGCATCCACTGGGCACTAGTTTATTGTTTGGTCATGGGGCTTGAACTCAGGGCTCAGGTGCTGTCCCTCAGCTCTTCAGCTGGCAGGCTGAAAAGGCAGGCACTCTACCACTTGAGCCACAGCGCCACTTCTGGTTTTCTGGTGGTTCATTGGAGGTAAGTCTCAGACGTTCTTCGGGGCTGGCTTTGAACTGAGATCCTCTGATCTCATCCTCCGGAGTAGCTGGGATGGCAGGTATGAGCCACCGCGCCCAGCTCAGGCACTAGCTCTTGCTGCGCAGGGCGTGGGAGCTGGGCTGGCTGGAGTCTGTGACCGGCAATGGAGATGTGGCAGGTGTTGTGGGTGGGGCCATGGCAGAGGCAAGGGCAGTGTGAGCAGAGCCCTCCTTCACCCACCTGTGCGCACCAGCCTGGGCGGGCTGCACACCCAACCCAATCCGAGTCCCTGTGCTGGCCGAGCCCAGCAAAGCTGAGTGGCCGCTGCAGCCTCGTCCAGAATGTGGAGTCAAAGCTTACTCCCTAGCTGCAGGACGCAGCAGGGCTTGCCCTGTCAGAGTTTGGGCTTGTGAGCTGTTCCTCTTCGTCTCGCCCGTCTTCTCCGTCTGGGATGGAATGGCCCCGGTGTCCCAGCCACACCCAGTTCTGACCTTGGACTGTGAGTGACGTTGGAAGGAGTGAAGGGCTGGGGCTCTGGGTGTGAAATGGGTGCAAGGGTTGTAGTGATGAGGCCAACGTGAAGGGTTTCTGGGCTGGTCCTGGGGTGCCGCCCGCGGGATGGAGGATGAGTTCTATGTCCTGTGTCCCATTCCCCCCCCCCCCCGCAGTGAGCCAGCAGGGCTCTTACCACCTTCCAGCACCACGGGTTTGGATTTCCAGCCTCTGAAGCCAAGAGCCAGCACACGTCCAACCATCGTAAATTACCCAGTCGAGAGTGCTCAGAGCAGCAGACCAAATATGTCTCCAAACGTCTGTCCTGACACCGCGGAGCGAGGACATTCAGGGTGGCTGGATCCTTAGGGCCCAGCCCTTCACGGGGCCGGAAGTGCCCTGTCTGCAGCGTTTCTGTCCCGGGTGCAGTCCAGAGCCTGAGAAAAACTTAAGTGTTATGGCAACAGAGCAGACTGAGGCCAGGGCCAGCTCTGACCCAAGCCGTAGTCAGCCTCCACGCTTGCTCTGTATGTGGGAAGCAGCTGAGCTGGGAATGCTGGGTCGGAATGCTCTGCACAAGGTGACATTCACTTAGAGGATGAGCTTTTTTTCCCCGAAGATGATGTTGAAGCCTGGCCTCCGGGGCCTCAGGACACGGCCTTATTTGGGACCAGAATCCTCACAGCCATACTGGGTAAAGCCATTCCAGTGGTTCCCCCGACCCCCCGCAACCCCCAGGGCAGCTAGGACTCGTCAGGCACATCTGTCTTTCCCAGGAAGCTGCTCACGCAGTGCCACCTCGGGCAGCACGTTAGCACTTGTTGAACTCGTGTTGCTTTATGTGGAGAAGCTTCCTTTGGGCCTAGGTCCCTGGCTTGGGGCTCCTGCGTGCTGGTCACCGTCCTGTTGGCAGTGCGGGGGTCGGAGCCCAGGGCTTGGGGCACTCGGGGGCAGCTCCGCCACTGAGCCAAAGCCCAGCCTTTGCAGAGCCGTTTCCTCCCTCTCCTGGTTCACCCGTGCCCGGGTTGTGGCCCAGGTAGATGGATGTGTTCTCCGTGGGGCCCCACTCGCACTCCCGCCCTTCTGCAGTCAGCAGGGCCCGCACGCTGGGAAGGTCCCAGACATGCCCTGCTGCGGACTGCCCTCCTGTGTGGCCTTGTGGGTCTCAGAAGCTCGACGTGAGCTCCCGTGCTGACTGTGCACCCAGCCTGCTGTCCGCTGTCAGCCAGGGCCAGACCCTGAGCCGGAAGCTTCTCCCCGCCATTACCAAAGGACCCACGCTGATGAAGCTGGCAAGGCGGACTTCCAGAACATCCCAAAGGCAGGCGATCTAGTGAGAGCTGCTTTCCTTCAGCCTGCGACTTCCCCTGCCTGCACTAGCCCACCGAGCTCTGCCCGCCTGCGGCCCCAGCCCGGGGGTTTCCCCCTGCATCAGCTGCGCCCTTCCAGCCGGGGCCAGGCAGCGTCCCTCCCCTTCCCCGTAGCCATGTGCTCAGGCACAGGCCAGCAGGCATCCCTGAGGTCAGAGGTGCCTGCCTGGGCCGGTATCTTCCCCTCTGCCCCACACCGCGCCTGGGCCCCGAGACCAACACGTCAGCAGGGCGGTGGGAGCCAGGGACGCCCGGGGCCTCTGCAGACACACTGGGTACGGTGGGCTGTCGCCAACTGTTTATTCAGGGCCTCAACCAGGTGAGGAGCGCACATGCAGCGCATGGGGCCTCCCTCGCTGGCGCACAGGCCAGGCCCCGGAGGCAGGGTGTCTGCGGCACACAGGGACCCCCGCCCTCCACGGGTGCACAGACCAGAGCCCAATGTGGGGCATCTGCAGCCAACAGCAGACGCTCAGGCGGGGGTCAGCTTAGGCTGTGCACTTCTGGCCCGGGGAAAGGGGTGGGGAAGAAGCAGGGCCTCCAGGGTCCTTTGCAGCCGCTCTGGCCAAGTGGCCACCACGGGTTCTCTGGTGCTGTCCATCCTGGCTGCCCCAGTGCTGAGCCTGCCGGCTGAGTGAGCAGATGGCGTGTGCTAGTGCTGGGGTCTGACCGACCCCTTCCTAAGGTGTGTCTGCCGTGAGCTTCTCCGCCTCCCGAGGCGTCTTCAGCGCCTATGACCGGTGAACCAGGAGAAGAAGGGGCGCGGGCGCGGGCGGGGCGCGTGGAGGATGCGCACGGTGCGTGGCGAGCGCCAGGCTTTGATGGTGGCGTCGTCGCTGGCTGTCAGCAGAAGCTCCTGCTCCTGGGGGCTGAAGGCCACTGAGTTGACCACGTCCTCATGCCGCAGCTTGGCCAGGCAGATGTTGTAGTGGCGATCCCAGATGTAGCCGTGCCGATCCTCAGCTCCACTGCAGGACCACGGCGGGGTGAACCTGCCACCCCTGCCAGTCCACTCAACCCCGAGGGCCTGGACGGCACCCTCTGCCCCCCCCTCCCCCCCAGCCCCGAAGGCCTGCCCAAGCCCACACCTGGCCACGAAGTCCCTGCTGACGTCCAGGAAAATGAAGAAGCACTCGTCGTTGGGGGTGTAGGCACGGTGTGCCCGCAGAGCCCGCTTCACCTCCCGCATGGTCTTCAGGTCAAACACCAGCAGGTCGATCTCCTCCGCAATGGGCGGTGGCTGCATGGGGTCCGCCACCACTGAGCCGGGGGGCCAGGCGCGGCTGTTCACATACAGGTACCTGAGCGAGGGCACAGCTCCGTGTGGGTGTGCTGCGCCCGACACCAGCCCACCTGCGTCTGGGGACACCAGCTACCTGTTGTCTGGGGACAGGCCCATGCCGATGATGTGCCCACGCACATCAATGACGTGGTCCAGGGCATCGAAGAAGGCGTCGGAACCCCGGCCTTCGCCCAGCACTGGCCCTGCCGTGGTCATCTGGTGGGGCAGGATCTGCTTGATTCCTGGGAAGACCAGGGTGAGAGGCCGATGGAGTGTCACTGCCAGGACCAGGTCCCGAGGACTCCCCAGGTGCTCACTGCACCTCTGCATGGGGGCCTGGCCTGAACCGCAGGTGGTCAGCCCGTCACTTACTGGCCCCCGGCCTGCTGGCCCCACAGCCGAGTGCTCCATGGCCAGGGCCGCATCCTGGGGGCAAGTGGACGGTCCACATTGCCCGTGGACTCCAGCCTGGCCAAGGGCTGTGGGGACGGGGGTGGGGGGGGTCCCACACCACATTACCGATCTGGTGTGGTGAGTAAGTGAGGCAGCCGGTAGTGAAGATGAGGTACTTGTTCCTGGCGTCCGCAGCACTGGGCTCGGGGGGCTTGGTGCGGCCCTGGGCTAGCAGCTCTGCCACCCTGGTCTCCAGCATGCGCTCCGACAGCTGCGGGGCTCCGTCCAGCGCATGACGCAAGCCCTCCTTGGCACGGCCAGGACCACGCGAAGTCGGCTCAGCCGCTTCTTCCTCACTGTCCCCGCCCAGGTCAAAGACGCGGCAGCAAGGTGCAGCCCGGTCACCTGCATCCAGCAGGAGGTCAGGGCTGTCGAAACGGCTGCAGTCAGCCACCATCACTGTGCGGATGGTGCTAGCGTTGAGATTCTGGATCTTGAAGAGTCGCTTCACCACATTGACATTCTCCGACTCCACGTCCTGGGCAGGGTACATGCCAGTAGGCCCAGGACGGGTGGGCACCGGCTAGTCCGTCCCTGCCCCGCCCCTCTGCCTCTGCCCCCCTCCCTCCCTGTCCCCCTATCGTCTCCATGCCCTGACCTGGAAGGCATTGTTGAGCCACAGCACGGAGCAGGAAGTGATGTCCCCAATGCGGTGCAGATTTCCCGAGATCAGGCTGGTTTCCGTGAGCCAGCAGCCAAACACATCGTAGGGCTTGTTGCGCACACGGGACAGCAGGGCGAAGGAGTCTGGGGGGAGGCCAGGGCTGGGCAGGCTGCCGGAAGGGCCCCGTCGGGCTGCCCAGCCCGAGGCCCAGGCTCACCTAGGCTAATGACTGCGATCTCGCCCGAGGAGGAGTTGTGGGGCCCCAGAAACACCCCCGAGGCGAGCAGCAGCGAGTCGTCCTGGTTGAACTGGGAGAACTGGGTGTAGCTCCAGTTGTAGGGCCTCATGTCCGCACTGTGCAGCAGTGAAATCGTCAGGTCGTTGCTCCAGATCTGTGCCAGGGAAGCCAGCTGCTGAGCGCCTGGCCAGGCCTCGCGGCAGTGTACCCTGATGCCCCTCCAATGCAGGAAGTTCTGGCGCTCACAGAGGCCGCCACAGCCCCCTGGGGTAGAACTTCCTCTAATCCCTTGCTTGCTGCCCGCTCCACCTCACCAGCATGGAGGCTGGTCCTGGGGGGAGGCTCTGGTGGACTCATCTTCTTTACCCTTGGTTTGGGTCGCTCTGGCCAGGCCCCAGCTGCAGTGTCTGTCCACCGGGCCCCGCCACTGACACAGAGCTTGTGGCTCGCTCGTCTCTGGCCTGTCCAAGCTGGGGTACCTCGGTGGGATACCCTTACCTTTACAGTGCAGTCCTTGGAGCAGGAAGCAAACTGGTACCCCGAGTGCGAGAAGCTGAGGTGCAGGACCTGGTCGGTGTGCTCCTTGAGCGTCTGCACCTCCACACAGGGCACCATGTCGTACAGCCGCTGAAACTCCTCATACCAGGACGTGGCCGCTGTGGTAGGGGCAGCATCAGTGCCCAGCCCAGGCCTTCCTCCCGTCCAGCCCCCGGAACCAAGGCCCTGGTGCTTCTGGATCCCGCTAGGTACCCATCAGCCTTCCGTTGGGGTCATACCCTCCCCGCTCAGAGAAGCTCCCCTCCCCACCTGCAGTAACCCACAGGTGAGGCGGAGCCTCAGGGTCACAAGCCGGGGCCCCGCTTAGGCTGCGGGCTGAGCCGGGCGGCGGGCCGTGCTGCCCTGTGGCCCTGCGCTGGGGTCAGCCCTTGCTTCCTGCAAGGCCAGAGGCTCGGGCTGGGTCGGGCGCACCTGGGTGGCGGGGCACGTCCCGGGCCACCTGGTAGTAGCGGTAAAACTGCTCCCTCCACAGGAACTCGTCGCGGGACACCGCCTGCCACTGGCGGCACACCAGGCCGGCGGCCAGCACGTCGGCGGGGCTCAGGCTCAGGAAGATCTGGTAGATGAGGCTGTCGGGGAGCAGGGGCGAGCCCCCCTCGGCCATCGTGACATTCTGCCCGGGCGGCCCTGAAACCAGCAGCGGCCGCTCTGAGCCCCGGCCCCGCACCCCGAGCCCCGGGCGGCCCGCAGGCCGCGGCTAGCCTCCGGAGGGGCCCCCCGGCCGCCCCGCGCCCCGGGAGCCGTCCGGGTCGGGTCGGGGAGCGCAAGCCGGCGGCGCCGGCGCTGACCTGGCCACCCCGGGGCTCCTGACCACGCCGCGGGCACAGCTTCGCCGGGCAGCGGGCGAGGGCAGGCCGGTGGCGGCGCGCGGGCGCGGGCGCGAGGGCGGGCGCGGGGCGCGGGGCGCGGGGCGGGGCGGGGCGGGGCGGCCGCGGCGGGGCGCGGGGCGGGCGGCGCGGGGCCGGGACTCACCGCGGCGCCTCCGCCCGCTGCGATGCGCCGACCCGCTTCCGCTTCCGCCGCCGCCGCTCCGGCCGCCGCTCCGCGTCTCTATGGTAGAGCCAGGCCGACGCCTCGAGCGCCGAGGCATCGATGACCGCGGGGCGCCGGGCAACCGGCGTCCGCCCAGGCGCTTCCTGCCGGCGCTTCTTTGTGCGCCTGCGCGCGCCGGGGCTCGCGGGAAACAGTGCCCCCTGGCGGCCCGAAGAGGAAGCGGTCATGCAGCTGGGCCTGGGGGTGGGGGCAGCAGCAGGTTCGAGACCACCCTCTCCCGATCCTCCCCGTCACCCTCCCCCAGTTCTCCCCGCCCCCCTGCGGCCCCCGCTGTAAGGACCAGCCACCTCTAGCAGAGATGGGGCCGGGGAGGGCGCCAGGGGACATGGAGTCCGAGGTCAACGTGATTCACCTGGGACCTGGTGTCTGTCCCTGCCAAGGCCCGACCCTGGCTCGAGACAGGGCCGGATTTCCGGGGAGAGGCAGGGCTTGCACTGGCCTGGTCAGCGCCCTCTGACCTCGATGCCCTTCGCCTCCCTGTCGGGCTTCTGTCGTTGACCCGGCTGCCATGCTGCCCCGGTGGGCCTTGCTGGTCTTCGCCACGCTCCTGCTAGGTGGTGCCCTGGGCCGGAGGGCCAGGAAGCCCCCAGGGCCTGCCCCGGCCATCTCGGCCGTCCAGCCCCAGGCCCATTTCCAGGCTCAGCAGGTAGAAGCCAGGCGGGGGGGGGGGCTGCCCAGCTTTGTAGGATGGAGTGGGAGCCTCCCCTCTCCTCCCCTCCCCTTCCTCCCTCCCCCGGCCCTCCCTCCCAGTCCCCAGGATCCTAACCCCCCCCCCACAGTTTGCAGGAAAGTGGCTCCTCGTGGCCGTGGGCTCTGCCTGCCGCTCCCTGCAGGAGCAGGGCCACAGAGCTGAGGCCACCGCACTGCACACAGCTCCACAGGGCGCAGCCATGGTCGCCAGCACCTTCCGAAAGCTGTGAGTCCCCGCGTGGCCCTCCTCCCACGTCCCTGCCCACCCCTCCCACCCCGGCCAAAACCCAGGGTGGACGGGCCGTGTGGCTGCCCCTGGGTTGGGGTCTCCGAGCCTGGGCGCCTCCTTTGCCCCCTGCCCTCCAGGGATGGCATCTGCTGGCAGGTGCGCCAGCTCTACAGCGACACCGGGGTCCCCGGCCGCTTCCTGCTCCCAGGTGAGGTGGGAGCGGCGGGCAGAGGCGGGGCAGAAGGCCAAGCGAGGCGGGAGGGGTGACGTCCTCACCCCTGTGCCTCAGCCCGGGGGCCCCGGGCGCCCGTGCGTGTGGTCGTGGCCCACACGGACTACCAGGGCTTCGCCATCCTGTTCCTGGAGAGGGCCGGGCGGCTGGCGGTGAAGCTGTATGGTGCGTGTGCTGGGGCTGGGCTCTGCCACAGGCAGCGGGTGTGGAGCGGGACCGGGCGGGTGGACCGTGGGCCGGTCCGCGCCCTCTGCCCAGCCTCTGCCGAGGCTCAGCAGCCTCATCTGCCCACAGCCCGCTCTCTGCCGGTGAGTGACTCTGCCCTGAATGAGTTTGAGCAGCAGGTGAGGAGGGCCAACCTGACGGAAGACCAGGTCGTGTTCTTCCCCACGTACGGTGAGTGTCCCTGCCCCTCTGCTCTCCGTGACCCAAGCCCGGTCCCCTTCCTCATCGCCGCCTGGGCCCCCAGGTTTCTGTGAGGCCGCAGACCAGTTCCATGTGCTGGACGGTGAGTAGCTGGCAGGGAAGGCCGGTGGCCACGAGGAGAGGCTCCCAGCCGCCCCCTGAGCCTCCTGTCTGTGCAGAGGTGAGGCGGTGAGGCTGGAGAAGCTGCCCACGGTGGACCCTGCTGACCCCCTCCGTGACCCCTGCACCCCTGCGCCCACCAGCCGGGGGACCCACTGTCTGCCCAGGGAGCTCTGTGACCTGGGGCTTCTCAGTAAACCTCAGCCATGGTCCTCCCTGTGTCCTTTCTGTCCATCTGGACAGGTGCTCCCCCTGCCGGTGGGGAGGGGAAGCGAGTGGCTGGTCCCTCTCCCCCTCCCACACCTCTCAAACTAGGGTAGAAACGCAACCACCTGGAGGCACCAGGGCCCTGCTTTCTTCCCCAGGCCTCAGTTTCCTTGCTCTGCAGCTCTGTCCTTCTCTGACCCCGCTGGCTGGGTGCCTAGTACTGGAGCCTGTCTGGGCCTCGGCCCGGTGCCCAGGCCTTGCCTGGAGAGGGGCCCCGGCTGCCCCTTGACCCGGCCTGGAGGCTGCGGAGCTGGAGACAGGGCCCAGGGCCCGGTGGCAGGACGGCGGGCGGGCCGGGCGGGCTGTCAGGGAGGCTTTGCCGCTCTAGACACAGTGCCCAGCTCGCTGTTCTGCGGTGCATCCTGGAAGATGGAAGGCTGCTGTCCGGGGATCTGCCTGGTGAGGACACACCTGGGTGGACAGGGACGCGCTGGCCGCTCTCTGGTTCTCGAGGCCATTCGCGAGGCCGGCCCCGAGAACGGGGGGCACAGGCCCGGCACTGCTCACAGTCCAGCCGCCATCTGTGCCGTCTGAGCGGCCAGAGAAGGCCCCGTGCCCGAGGACCCGCGGGAGCTGAGGAGGGGTGTGCGTCCCGCGCTCCCTTGACACTGACACTCCGGGGAGCCTGTGGTGGGGGCGTGGTCAGGCGGAGGGCAGGCTGCCCACCCCAGCTCCGGACTTGGGGTGGGGTGGGGTAGGCAAAGGGTGAACAGCCACCTCGGGATGTCCAGCGAGTGACCGCCCCGCGCAGCCCCCGAGGCGCATTGCGGCCATCTCCTCAGGCAGTCCCCAGCCATGCCTGGGCCCTGGGGGGCCAGAGCCCCGCCCAGGCCGGGGCCTCGGGGGGTGAGGGCAGGGGTGGGTCAGCGGAGTCGGTGGCCAGGGCTGGGAGCTACTCTGTCATCTAGAAGCCTTGTGGGCCTCCACCGTGCGACCCAGCCCCATGAGCTTCGCTGCCAGTGGAGTGTGAGGGGAGGGGGGCCCAGGGCAGCTGGCCCTCCTCCTCTAAGGAGAACCAGAGCCTCGGGAGGCCCCGCCCGCCTGCACCCTCCCCACCAGCCTGCCAGGGCCCGGCCTCATCAGGGGCTCATCCTCCTGGCAGGGACACTTGACCAGCTCTCAGTCCCTCCCGCCCCTCCGTGGCTCCGGCTGACTGCAGGTCCCACACGCTCCGGGCCCTGGGCGCCACCCCGGGGCTGGCAGGCCAGGCTCTGAGGGCAGCAGCCCATGGGCGCCGGGAACAACCAGCCATCTTCCTGGGGCGGGAGGTCAGTGGCAGGAAGCCGAGGGGAGAGCGGAGGAGGCCGGAGGAGGCGGTGATGGCCCCAGGCTGGCCAGCGGCCCGCCCCCTCACACCCGCCTCTGTGGGAGCTCGTGGCCGCCACACCGCAGAGGAGGAGGAGGAGGAGGAGGAGGGCTCCCAGAGGCCCTGCCCGCATCCCCGTCCCTCCCCGTCCCTCGGGGCCACAGCTGCTGGGATGAGCCCCCGCGCTGCCCTGTGGCTGCTGCTCGTCCTGCCAACAGCCGTGCATGGCCAGACGCCCAGCCCCCTGCCCACCTTCACCCCGATGAAGAGCTTCCACCACGACCAGGTAGCATCTCCCGGGGGGCGGGGAGAGGGGCTGGCGGCCACCACCAGGGCAGAGGCTCCGGCCCAGCTCCCTGCACCTGTGGGGAGACGGGGCTGGGGCCGCCCGGCCTCCGCCAAGGGCCTGCGGCCTTGCCAGACCCAGGGCAGGCTCTAAGAGCTGGGGGGGGGGGTGACCAGCCTGGACAGCGGCCGCCTGGGAGGGGTGGGCCTGGGCTGCCGCCCGCCCTCACCGGCCCGCAGTTCCAGGGGGAGTGGTTTGTCCTGGGCCTGGCGGGCAACAACTACAGGAAGAAGGACAAGGCCCTGCTGAAGCCGTACATCACCACCATCGTGGCGGACGACAAAGGCCAGCTCCAGGTGTCCAGCGCCATGAAGCGGTGAGTGGGCCCGAGCCGCGAGCCGCACCGCCGCCGGCGAGCAGCCTGTGGGTGCGCGGCAGGGAGCCACCCTGGATCCCAGGGCATGCCTGGGGGGAGTTCAGCCTTCCTGGGTCCCGGGCTTGGAGCTGGACCCTGCTTCCTGTCCCAGCCTGACCTCTTCTCACATCACAGCCTGGCCTCTGCCTGTCTATCTGTCTGTCTGTCTGTCTGTCTGTCTGTGTTCTCGGTCACGTGCTCCTCATGAGCCAATCACTGTGTCCACGGCAGTGGGCACTCTGATGGGCCTGCCTGGAGGAAGTGCCTGCCCTGGATGGGAGGAGCGGGTTTGGGGTGGACGGCTGGGCGGGTGCTGCCCTCCCCCAGCCTCCATGGCCTTCCTCGCTCACCTGACTGGCTGGCCTGGGGGGCCCAGGTGACCTTTGATTCCAAACGACAGTCTGCAAAGGGACCATGGGCCTCCAACCTGTGACCTCAGGAGCCAGGATCATAAGCACGCAGCACCACACTCCATTGATGGGTTGACATTTGGGTCCCACTATTTTTTTGCCTGGGCTGGCTTCAAACATCAGTCCTCCAGATCTGATTCCAGAGTAGCTGGGATTACAGGCGTGAGCTACTAAAGCTCAACCTAGAGTTTGCAGCTTTTCATCATCTCAAAGGAGAAGGCAGGTGCAGACAGCTCCTTTCTCTTTCTCTATTCTTGCTAAAGGAAGTGCTGGAAGAGGAGCTGGCCGCTCGGATTCCTCAGCTGTTTCTTCCTAGCTCTGTTTCAGTGTCCGAGTCTATCTCTCTCTAGTATTTATTATCTTCTATTTCCCTTTCACCTAATCTATCACCCTCTTGCTCACCTAGCGGCAAGTGTGCGGGGAGTGTGGCTCCGGTGGCAGGAAGTGTCAGGCTGGCTCAAGCCCCTGTGCCTCCCCCAACAAAGAACCCCAAAGAGCTAGTCGGCAGGAACCAGTGGCTCACACCCGTGATCCTAGCTACTCAAGAGGCTCCGGTCGGGAGGATTTCAATCTGAGGGCAGAGAAAAGGCCAGAAGACTCATTTCCAAAATAATAAGCAAAAAGCCAGGCTGGAGGTGCAGCTCAAGTAGTAGAGTGCCAGCCTGGGAAGCCAGGGAAGTATGAAGCACTGAGTTTAAATCCAGTACTAGAAGAAAAAGAAAAGCAAGCACATTCCTTCTAGAAGCCCCGGCAGTGCTGGGTTCCTTCCCTGGGCCTGGGTGAGGGGCGGGCAGGGTGGCCAGCTGGCCCACCGTGGCCGCTCTGCTCCCTGGGTTCATCCCAGCGGCCTCGCCGGGAGGGAGGGGTGGGCACAGGGCAGGTTTATTAGCCAATGGCGCAGCCCCATGGACCGGGGGCTCTGTGCCAGCCAAGGAGGACCTGCCCTGGATGGACATGGGCAGGGCTCCTGGAGGGGCCTGTGAGCCCCTGGCTCCCGGTCCTGGGGGCTGGGGACCTTTTGGAGGAGCTGCCAGGCAGCCTGGCCAGCCTCCCCCCTCCACTGCCCGCTCAGCCCGCCGCCCTCCCCCCAGGGGCAAGCGCTGTGACACATGGTCCTACGTGATGGTCCCGGCCGAGCAGCCAGGCCAGTTCACCGTAGAACACAAAGGTGAGGCGGACGCGGTGGCAGGGCCGGCTGGTGGGCACGCGGGCGCGCGGGCCTGGCGGCAGGGGCTGGACCCTCGTGCCTGACCGGCCCCTAGGCTCCACGGCCGACCAAGAGGCCATGCGGGTGATAGACACCGATTACACCAAGTTTGCCTTGATGCTGTCGCTCAGGCGGACTGGCAGCCGGACCATCATCCGGGTCAGCCTCCTGGGTGAGCCACTTCCCCTGCCCTGCCCTCCCCTGCCCTGCTCCTCCCCTGCCCCTCCCC